AAATCTTTTTCAAAAAGTTATTTTTTGAGAAATGTTAAATAGGTAAAAAAAAGTAGAGAAAGTTGTTTTAGAAAAAAATAGATAATTTGAAAAAGGAAAGTAATGATTGAAGTTGGTAGGGTTAAAGTAAAAAAATATTAATGAATAAGATTATTTTTTAAATTTATGATTTGACAAATAATGTATTTAACACATATATAATAAAGGTAATTGTTATTTTAGTACTTGTACTATGGGGTAATTGTGATTTTGGTACATATTCTTTATTTATTGCGAAAATACAATCTGTTCTTTGTGTTTTTGTGAATTTGGTACCTAGTATTGACGTCAGTTACATTTTCCGTCGACTTCATCTCGCGAGTCGCGACCTCATCTCGCGAATCACGACTTTGGCTGACTGCACTACATGACTTTCCGTTTCGTGCTCGTTTGGACTCGTTCGAACTCGGAATTGAGTTCCCTTTTTTTTCTAAGCGTCGCCAACGAACCCCTCTATTCAATGATGCTTGTATGACCAAATTATTCTTGAAATACTATTCTCCACAAGTTTATGACCAGCACACCAAAGACGTGCTTCGCGCGACTTCGCGTTTTGGGCCCGTTCGAGCTCGTCCAATCTTGGAATTGAGTTTCGCTTTTTTCTACATGTCGCCAACGAACCCTTCTACTCAACCATAGTTGCCCGATCAATTTTCGGGTCAAATTTATTCCTCAAGGGGCTTCCAACTTGCACACTAAAAACAAGAAGAAAAACCAAAAAAACACACGACACAATAAACTACAAAAACGAATAAAACTCAACGAAAAGTCCTAAAACGAGGAAAAATAGTGACAAAACAATAAGAAAGAACGTAAGAAAAATGGAACAAACACTTGCCGAAACTCCATCACTACTAGTTTTTAATTTTTGGTCAATTCAAACGTTAAGCTTTTTGGAGACTTTGAACTAGTAGTGATGGAGTTTTTGCAAGTGTTTATTCTATTTTTTTTTTACATTTTCTTATTTTTTTTTTCACTATTTTTCCCCTGTTTTAGGACTTTTCGTTGGGTTTTATTTGTTTTTGTAGTTTATTGTGTCGTGTGTTTTTTCGATTTTTCTTCATGTTTTTAGTGTGCAGGTTGAAAGCCCCGTGAGGAATAGAGTTAGCCCGAAAATTTACCGGACAACCATGGTTGAGTAGAAGAGTTCGTTGGCGACATGTAGAAAAAAGCGGAACTCAATTCCAAGTTTGAACGAGCTCGAACTCAATTCAAACGTTAAGCTTTTTGGAGAATTTGAACTAGAAGTGATGGAGTTTTGGCAAGTGTTTGTTCCATTTGTTTTTATGTTTTTTCCTATTGTTTTGTCACTATTTTTTTTCTCATTTTAGGACTTTTCGTTGAGTTTTATTCGTTTTTGTAGTTTATTGTGTCGTGTGTTTGTTTGTTTTTTCTTCATGTTTTTAGTGTGCAGGTTGGAAGCCCCGTGAGGAATAAATTTGGCCTGAAATTTACCGTGCAACCATGGTTGAGTAGAAGGGTTCGTTGGTGACATGTACAAAAAAGTGGAACTCAATTCCAAGTTTGGACGAGCTCGAACGGGCCCAAAACGCGAAGTCGAGCGAAGCACGTCTTTGGTGTGCTGGTCATAAGCTTTAGGAGAATAGTATTTCAAAAATAATTTGGCCATACAAGCATCATTGAATAGAGGGGTTCGTTGGCGACGCGTAGAAAAAAACGGAACTCAATTTCGAGTTCGAACGAGCCCAAAACGTAAAGTCATGACGCGACTCGCGAGATGAAGTCGACAGAAAATGTAACCGACGTCAATACTAGGTACCAAATTCGCAAAAACGTAAAGGTCAAGTTGTATTTTTGTAATAAATAAAGAATAGGTACCAAAATCACAATTACCCCATAATACATGTACTAAAATAACAATTACCCTATATAATAGTGATAAACTTTCATTCTTTAATTATATTAGTGAGACTAGAAAAAAATTAGATTAAATATATTTTTTATAATATTTTTATTTAATTTTACTTTAAAATAAAAATTTATTGAAAAAATAAAAATATTTTTTGTAATCAAAAGCACGCTGAATATAAATTATTTTAGAAAATAATTATTTTGACGAAAAATGAATTAAAGAGTTGAGTTTTTCTTTGTTGGAAAAGTAATTTATTTTAGAGTTTTTAAATGATGAATATTAAAATTGATTTGAAATCAAAGTAACAAAATAAAGTAAGAAAATATTTTTTTTTTTTTAAAAAGTTTTAATTATATTTTTCCAACAAAGAATTAAAGTAATTAAAAGTGATTTTTTCCAAATTTTTTTAGCCAACTATATATTTTATGAAAAAAAAATTATCAACATATCTAATAGTCCCTCTAACCCAAAAGGAGTTGAATTTGAAAGATAAAACAAGCATTAGCACACCCAAAAAAACTTTAATGAAAAAGAAAAGGGAAAATTTCACTTTTGATACCCTAGGTATACCTACTTTTCGCTTTTGATACCCATGATTTACACTTAATCAATTGTAGTCACTAAAGTCTATAAAATCAATCATTTTTGCACGAAGCGTCAGTTGACCGTGAGTCAACTGACCATCACCTTCTGTAGCCGGTTCTTTTCCCCAAAGAAACCTAAATAATCGGTTTCCCCTAATTTTCTCAATCGAGCATACCTAATTGCTGTGAAAAAAACCCTAACATTTTACCTGTAGAAAAATTTCATTCATTTATCGCGTTCAAGTGGGCAATCGATTTCAGATTGTACGTGGGTTGTGAGCTTCCATTTCAGATTGCGACGAGCATATTCTGATTTGCAACGAGCATATTTATATTCTGACTCCATGGCGAGAAGGATTATACGTGGTTGCAACCTGAATACGGTAAGTTTTCTCACTTCATTTTGTCACTAACTTTTTGCATTAATGGAAATTATATGGTTAATTTTGAAAAGTTCCATATTATCTGATTATTGTGAGTTGCCCTAAAAATTAGGGTTTTTTTCAGCTGAACAAATTAGGGGTTCTTCGATTATGATCTAAACAAATTAGGGGTTTTTCAGTTGTCACTATGTGTTTATGCATACTATTTTTCAGTTCTGTTTATTTGATTTTCTTTTTTTTTTCCTGTGTTGTAGACCCTTTGTTGGAACCAACTGTCTTCACAATTGAGTTTCTGCACGGTGGTTTAATGTTGCATATTCCTGTGAAAGATTACCGAGGTGGGTATTTGGATTATTTTGATGGGGTGGATGGGGAGATGTTTGGGTTGTTTGAGTTAAAGGATTTTATAGAGCAACTAGGTTATAACAGTGATCATGTGAATGCCTGGCATGTGCATGGAATTAGTTTACAAGATGGTAGTCATATTATTGATAGTGATCAATTGGCATATAAGGTCATGAACCTTATTCCTGAAAACAGAATAGTGAGAATTGTTTTAGAACATGTACATCATGGTGATAACTACTCTAATCTTGAGGTTGAAAGTGATCCTGTCATTGACCTCTCATTTCTGGGTAGCCTGAACTCTAATGTTGAACAACCTGAACATCCTGAACAATCTGAACAGCATGAACATCATGCACAATCTGAACAACATGAACATCATGCACAATCTGTACAATCTGAACAACATGAACAAAATGAAGAGTGTGCTTCTGTTGATGATAGTGATTCAGAATGTGAGGAGTTCAATAATAGTGACTATGATATGGATGAGGATGATATTTTGTTTGACAGAAATGTTGACAAAGATGCAGAATTTGTTGGGGTGAATGAAAAAAATAATGGTAAATCAATTGAAAATGAGTTTTTGTCTGAGGGTATATTTGAGGAAGAGCATGATCTTGAGTTAGGGGATAGTGATTCATTTGAAAGTGTTAGAGGGTCTGATGAGGAGGATAAAGTTGTGAAATTCCCTAAATATAATCCTAAAACTGACAAAAACCTTGAGTTGACTTTAGGGATGATTTTTAGTACAAAATCAGAGGCTAAGGATGTTATTCAGGGTTTCTGCTATAGAAGAGGGATGGTGATTCGTTTTGATAGGAATGACAAAAGAAGATTGAGAGCTAGGTGTACCACAGAGGGGTGTGGGTGGTATATTTTTGTTTCACCAATGCAAAATGACTCATCTTGGCAGGTGAAGTGTTATGAAAAAAACCACAAGAGTTGTTCTTGGAACTATAATAATCCTAGCATCAAATCTGGGTGGATAGGGAAGAATTTCATGAAAAAATTTAAGAAGTACCCTAAGTTAGGAGTCAATGAGTTTAGGGGTATGTTGTGTACCAAGTTGAAGTCCAATATTTCTAGGCAACAAGCCTACAGGGCCAAGAAGAAAGCAATGATGCTTCTGGATGGAACATTAAAAAAACAATTCAGTTCAATTAGAAGCTATTGTTTAGAGTTGTTAAGGTCCAATCATGGTTCAACTGTTGTTCTAAAACTGAGCAATTGTGAAGAGCAATCTAGACAACCTGTGTTTCAAAGATTGTATATTTGTTTTGATGCATGCAAGAAAGGTTTTAAGCACTGCAGAAAAATCATTGGGGTTGATGGGTGCTTCTTGAAAGGCCCCCAGGGTGGTCAACTCTTAACAGCTGTGGGCATTGACCCAAATAACCAGATTTTTCCTGTTGCTTATGCAATAGTTGAAAATGAGAATAAAGATTCTTGGTTGTGGTTTTTGAGGTTGTTAGAGAATGATTTAGAGATTGATAATGAATGGACTTTCATGAGTGATAAACAGAAAGGGCTCATCCCTGCCTTTGAAGAGTTGTTCCCTAATTGTGAAAACAGGTTTTGTGTTAGACATTTACACAGTAACATGAAAAGAGATGGCTTTGTTGGTCAGTCTATAAAAAATCTTTTGTGGGCTGCAGCTAGAGC